CCTGCTTACACTTGTCCTTCCCCCTGGAAAAACACAAATGACTTGTGCATCTTAGCTGGCTTTGAGTTAATTGCAGAGCACCTAGTGTAGGGATAAGAGCATGGTCAGAGCTGTTCTCCACCTTCCCTTCAGTGATGACACGATGACGAGTCAGAAGGGATGTCCTTGTGTCACTGCAGCGTGCTCAATGCCATGTTCTGTGGTGCTGTGCTAAGGCTGCCTTGGCCAGGATGTCCTGCTCATTGGATGACCTAGAGGCATTTGTCTGAGAAGGGATACAAAAAAAGCCCTGGAATTCCTTAGAAATATAGAGCTGAGTTATCCTGGGAAGGGGACAGAGTGTAAAACCAGGGTTGGAATAAGTTGAGGGTATAGCTGCAGTCCCAGGCTGCAGGTGGTAAAGGCAATGAGTTGGAGAAAGGTAAACAGGCTGATAAAAGTCACAGTAATTAGATTTTTTGCTATAGTATGTCTGTGTTGTTGTCAGGAGATGTTTTGCTGTGCAGAGATATTTTTCTAACCTTGGTGCTTGATTTATTTCATGTCCCTGTTGTCCTGTCACTCTTTGTAGGAGTACTGGGAATCAAAGTAAAGATTATGTTGCCTTGGGACCCAAGTGGAAAGATTGGCCCCAAAAAGCCTCTGCCAGACCACGTCAGCATTGTGGAACCCAAAGAAGAGATCCTGCCCACCACCCCCATTTCAGAGCAGAAAGGTGGCAAACCAGAACAGCCAGCCATGCCTCAGCCAGTTCCCACTGCCTGAGGGGTAAGTGGGAGCTGTGGCAGGTAGGTTTGCTGAGGATCCATGTGGAAAAGCTGTTAGGCATCTGGGATTCTGGGAAGACAAGCTGGGTTGGGTTTGAGCTTTGCCCTGGGTGAAGAGGACATGGTTTAAGGCATGTTGCAAAGCAGCTAAGCACAGTGAAGATGAGATGGTGAATCTGAAAGGGAGTATCCCTGTCCAGGTGCCCTGTTCCATGCTATGTAGTACAGCATGGATTTGCAGATTTGGGTCACAGTTGGAATGACTTTGGAGACATTTGAGAAGGATTTGGTGCCTTGGATGTGTTTGGATGGTACCACCTGCTGCCAGTGTGCAGCACAGGGTATATATCCCTCCTGCCTCAGGATCCAGTTTGGGATAGTCAGGAGCCACTAACATGAGCCACAGTGTGTAGGTTGTTCTTGTAAGTAAATAATCAGTTGGAAATCCTATCGAGAATCTGACTGACAGCATCTGCCTCAGTGGGGAAAAAAGGGGATCACAGACCAAAGTGCAGGAAGTAAGAGATGGCATTGAATTGGAAAACTTGGATCCTGTTGGTTTGTTTGGGGTAGGAGAAATGGTTTGCCACCAGCTCACTTGGTGTTTTGTTTTTCCTTGTAGGGTTTGTAACATCTGCAACCAGAAGTTTGACTTTTCTGAAAACATCTCTTAATAAAATCACAAAAGACAATGTTTGTCACGGTGCTTTTTTTTTTTTCTGCAAGATGTGCTCCAGGAAAGCTTTGTTCCCACCTTCGGTATGGAAGGAATTCTGTTGCATTTCCTCCAGCTTGACCCTTCTGGAATGAACTTGGGAACCTGAACAAAACCAAGTGGGGATAAAATGCTGATTTCTAGTTCAAGCTGGAGCAGCAGTTGGGGATTTAGAGGGTCATAAGTAACAAACACTGCATGAACTGATGGCTCTTCACTTATATCCCAGTCCCTTATCCAAGTTTTCCAGGAGAGGGAGCGTTTTTAATCATATCCAAGGTAATTGAAGTAGTTTGTACCTTTCTGGCTTCAACTGGAGTATTACTAGATTCTTCTAAATGCTCTTCTCACGTCTGTCCATCCATTTTCCTTGGCACTCTAAAGATGTTTAGTATATCACTTCCACAGGATTATAGCTTCTCTTAGGGTCAGGTGTCCTTAGGTGGAGTCACATCAGAAATGACACTGGATTTCAAACCTGTCCTGAGTGGTGAGATGGGAATACCTGGTGAAAGTCTGGTGCAGGAATGGGAAGAGATGCATACATCATGGACCTGTGTTCAGATTGGTTTTGTCCCTCGGTGAGGGCTGGTTTTCCTCTCTTTCTTCCTGGTGTAAAACTCTTCAGCCTAGTCTGTCAGCCTATTTATCTCACAGTGCTGATCACTGGTAGAACCAAGAGATGTGTAAGATCAAGAGATGTGCAAATAGTAGGGGGGATTATTGCTCAGGTGAGAACCACCAGCAGTGCTGCCTCCAGCTCTGGGGCGCCAACAGAAGGATGTGGAGCTGCTGGAGAGAGTCCAGAGGAGGCCATGGAGATGCTCTGAGGGCTGGAGCACTTCAGCTCTGCTCTGGAGCCAGGCTGGGAGAGCTGAGGGTGTTCATTGTGGAGAAGGGAAAGCTCCAGGGAGACCTTAGAGCCCCTTGCAGTGCCTAAAGGGGCTCTGAGAGAGCTGCAGAGGGACTCGGGACAGACAAGGGCCTGGATGGACAGGACAATGGGGAATGGCTTGCCACTGTCAGAGGGCAGGAATAGATGGGGCATTGGGAAGGATTTGTTCCCTGGGAGGGTGGTGAGGCACTGGCACAGGTTGCCCAGAGAAGGTGTGGTTGCCCCATCCCTGGAAGTGTTCCAGGCCAGGTTGGATGGGACTTGGAGCAACCTGGGCTAGTGGAAGGTGTCTCCTCTGCCCATGGCAGGGGGTAGGACTGGAAGGTCCATTCCAACCCAAACCAGTTTTTGATTATCCTATAACAGGGTGTGCACATGTGCATATGAACTGGAACCTCTCTGGTGTGCATTGGTTGGAGTTTACCACCACTCTGAGTGGTCTGGAGCCACTGATGATGTAGGGAGCTCATTTAGTTCCTTTGTGTCCTTTGGGTGCTGTCTTCCCTAGGACAAAGTACCAGGAGTATTTAAAGCTGCTTCGAAGCTCTCTCGGGGGGCAGGATAAGCTCAGGAGCTCTGGAAAGCTTTTAACTTCCTTTCCATATTGCTGTTCCAGGTTGATGATGTTCCTGCTGTGGTTGGTGTTGGAGATGGCTTCACTACTTTTGTTCAGTGAAAGACAGCAAGCACCTGGGGCTTTTCCAGCATATGAGGAGCTCTACATGGATGTGTGTGCTTGCACAGCCCACACACACACTAGGGGAGATGCCTAGCTTTAGTTTTGCTCTGAGTGGCAGAAGGGTAATCCCTTCCCAGTGGAAGGGCACAGCAGGGTCTGACACTGCTGGATTTTCCACCTATGTGGCCACAGTGGTGGTGCAGGCTCCTGCAGCTCTTTTTCCTCCTCTATTTCCCTTGATTGGATGCCACCTCGAGCAGGTTTGAGCCGAAGGGTCAGGAAGGCTCATCCCTGTGGGTAACAGCTGCCATCCTTGCCATCTTTGAACAGCTGTTTGCTCTGCTGATGGCAGGGCAGGGCAGTAGGTCCTGTATCTGTGAAGCATCAATGATGCTGAGGACTTGCATTTTCAGGATTAGAAGTGAAGTGAAAAGCTGACCTGAGAGTGTTCATTTCTAATGATTTATGTGCCATGGGAATGCATTGTGTATTAAGTGCAGTTTTTGTCCATAATTACCACATTAAGGAAGCTGTCTTGGATTTAAGGATGGCAAGGAGCCTCCCTAAGTGTCTTTGAAGAGTCCACCCAACCCCTGCAAGTGGCTGTGGCTGCCAGAGCTTCATTGAAAAAAAGTTTTATTGCAAAATGACACAACTGTCACGGTGTGGTACAAGAAGAGACTGTAAAAGCCACCAGGCACCTGCATCCACATGATGCAAATTCCTCACAAGATCCCGGTGTGTTCTTGCCTTTCCCTCCACCCCTTTCCCATCCTCCAGAACAATCTACGTGTGGATTCAGTGCTCTGATTCACTGGGTTGTGTCCTGCATACACTCCAGGCTTCCTGTGCATTGGGATACATCCCTGGGGATTGCCTCCTGCTTCCCAGAGGTGGGGAAAGCACTTGAGAATATGCAGTGTTGGGCTTCTATGTAGCAACCTTACAGCAAGGACATTGGCAGGGGAATAAAAATAAAGCAAAGCCATGTAGTTGCTCTGTGGTGGATTTGGAGAAGTGGCACTTCCACTGGGATGCACAGAATTCCCTCATTTCAGTAATCTTAGTTCCTTGTGGTGTTTCTCAGTGCATGCCACGTGCTGCAATGCTTGTGGGATCACATCAGTTACTTCAGTATCAATCTGATGATATCCCTTAAAGAGAAGCTAGGAATAGCCTTCAAGTCTAGGCTGGACCAGGCTGTGAAACTTGCTAATTAGGCATAAATAGAAGTATAAATACATTTGGGGTTCAGCTTACCCTAATCCACATGTTGGCCCAAGAACCCCCTTGGTGATCCCCTGAGGAGTGGAGTGTTGAAGGGACCTCAGGTTTCTCTTCCCTGAGGTCCCACCTGCTCTTTTGGCCTCTCTGCTGACACCCCTAAGCCTCTTCTCCATTAAGTGTTGAGCCAAGCCGCCCTTGGCTTTGCAGCTAGTGTTCTATCTAATGACCTGCTGTGTTTGAAGCATCCAACAGACCTAAAGCACAGGGATAGGCAGGACAGAAAGGTACAACTCCATGCAATCTCATGCTGTCATGGTCCTGCTCTGTTCCCAGGGCCACTGATGGAGCTGGACTGCACAACAGGCCCTTCATGCTCTGTTCCACACCACTGAAGAAGGAAGAGAGAAGTGAGGAACAGCTGCAAAGCAATCAGAACATCTCTGGAGTGGTGCCACGTGGCATCTAAGGGGGAGAAAACTAAGTGGCATGCAGTGAGATGGAAGCATTTGGGATGGAAGGGTGGAGAGCTGATGGGAGCAGCAAGGTACTGAGCAAGGAGGCTTAACTAGTGCAGGGAGGAGGCTTCAACCTGGACATCCCAGCTGAGGGTGCCACTAGCTGAGACAGTGCATGCCGGTTCCCTTCCACTCCCAGTGACCCTCTTGTGCCAGGCTTCCCTGTTCCTCTCTGGGGGTGGGTTTGTGCAAGAAGTATTTTGGGGTGAGGTAAAGTGTATGCTGGTTTCTCATCACAATGCACCCTGGTCTGAATTAGCACCCATGGTTCCAGAAGGATACAAAATAGTGTTTCCCCTTTTTGGAAATCTCCCACTAAAAACACAACACACAACCCAAAGCTCTGGGGACAAAAATAAACCCAACCCAAACAACTAACTACAACTCATCACGCATCTTGTCGCCTTTGGGCCTCACGAGCCTGCCAATGAAGAGGATGGAGTTGGTTTTACTGTCCTTGATCATGAAGATGAAGGGGTGGTCAGCATAGAAGAGCTTGGGGTTCCTCATCTCCTCTCGGCCGTAAATGTCAGCATCGTAGGGGTTCCCTTCTGTATCCCATTCCAGAGCAGCAGCGTGGAAGACATTGGACAGGTAAAGGTCTTTCTTGCCTGAGATCTTGGACAAGTCAGCCTTGGTTTTGTCAATGGCTTCTGTCAGGCCCAGACCACCCAAGTGTTTCTAGAAGGAGAAAAGAAGTCAGCAACCCTGTCAGAGAAGACACAGTGCAATCCTTCCCTGGCTGCTAGAAGGATGACAGGCACAGATAACCCATCATCCTGCTGTCTTCTGTCCCACCACAAAGAACTGTAAGGGCCGACTGTTTTTAAGGACTTTACCTGAAGGTCGTGGCTGACTTCCAGGATGACTTTTGGCAGCGAGATGGCCACTGATCTCTTCTTCATCTTGCCAGCCCAGGTCTTCAGCTGCTCCTTGTTCAGCAGTTTCTCAACCCTCTCCAGAGGCTCCACATGGTTTGGCATGATAAAGATCATGCTAGAGAGCTTGTGAGCAAGTGGCATCTCTACCACCTGGAGCTTCTCTGCCTCATCATCATAGTAATTGTAGAGACCTTGAAATCAGAAGCAGGAAATTGTGAGATGTGGAGCAGAGGCAAAGCTACCCACAGCCTTGTAAATTCACCCTGGACTTCCCTGACCAGCAAGAGAAGTGAGTCTGGACACCGATTTGGGAACTGGCCCAGCATTACTGGAGTTGGCTGTGGCTCTCATTTGAGTCATGAGCCAGGATGTGTTCCTAACAGCCAAGCACCCAATAGCAAACATGGATTCTCTCTGCTCACACAGACTGAATCTGCAGAACAAACACACCCTGCTTTGTTTTCTTTCACTTACTCCCATGAGGCAAAACAATCTTGGAAGCACTTGGTGGAAAACTGGGTAACAGAGCAGCAATGAGCATAACTCCGGTTCGCCTTGACATAGGGCACGAGGTTTGCAACTTACCTGTGCGATGCATCATGGGAACTCCCACAGTGTAGGAACGGGTCACCATGAAACCACGGTTGTCCACCATCTTATGATGGAACTTCTCATCCCAGTGAGCTACAGGGGAGACAGAAATCCAGCTTGTAAGGAAAGGGAACAAGTGGTAATTTCATGCACAGTTCCTAACTACTCTGACAAAGAGCCTCCCTCCCATGGACTTAGGATTTGTCTACCTTCCCTTGGGCTGTTAGATGTTCTTTCAGGTCCCTTCCAACCCAAAGCATTCTGTGTTGGCTCAGGCTAGGTTTTGGGTTACTTGTATCAAGAACTTACGTTTGAAGAACATGGCATTGACAATGAGGGCCCCATCAGTTTTCTCAACATCTTTTGTGACCTCTGGGAGCTTCCCATCCGTGGTCTGGGCCGCCCACTCATTAATGGATTTCAGGGCACTCCGCTTGTCTCGGAAGTTGATCTTGGAGTGCTCATAGTTGTAGTGTTTCTTGCTGTTCTTCACAAAGTCATCGGCGAAGTTGATGGAGGCAGGGCCATACAGGCGGCTGCCAATCTTCCAGGTGACATTGCGAGCTGTGCTGTTGCTGACCTCATTGAGGAGCTCAGACAACCCACTGTGCACATAGTCATCGTTCAGTTTGTCTGCGCTGAGCACTGCTTTGGCTTGGGAGGCAGTTGTGGCCTTGCCCCCAAGGGACACGAGGCCTAGGGAAGAGGCCACGACCACGGGGGACAGAAGGATGTTTTCCATGTCCTTGTCTTTGGCCATGGCATGGTAGAGGTTGAAGGCCAGCGTGGTGCTGCGCTCAGCCAGCGTCGTTGCCTTGTCGCTCAGCTTCCTGTCCTCAGAGGGCACTGCTGCAGCCAGGCCACAGAGGGCAAGCCCCACAATAATCCACATGGCTTCAGCAGTACCCAACACCTCCAAGGACCTGTTGGATAAGAAGAACTCACCATTAGTATGATTCAAACCCCTCCTGGAGCATTCAGAGATCCCAGGGCCTCTTCCAGAGAAACCCACTCCTTGGCTCCAGTGACAGCCAGAGCATCTGCATCAACGTTTCACTAGGGGTGGGTGCAGCTATCCCAAGGTCACACTGGGCTTTCCCCTGAGCAACAATGAATCTTCAGGAGCACAGGCTGCACTCTGGCATGCAGAGCCTGTGCATGTTGAATGAAAGATTCCTTTCTAAGCAATTTTACTGTATTACTATGTGTTCATGTACACAAAATGATTTAAGGAGGTGCCAGGGAATGGAAGCAACAGGTATTTCTGATGTGATCCCAACAGGACAAGGAGGAATGGCTTTAAACTGAGAGAAAGGTTTAGGTTAGCTATTGGGAAGGAATTCTTGGCTGTGAGGGTGGTGAGGCACAGGGTGCCCAGAGAAGCTGTGGCTGCCCCATCCCTCAAAATGTTCAAGACCAGGTTGGATGGGGCTTGGAGCAACCTGGGCTACTGGAATGTGTCCCTGTCCATGGCAGGGGGTGGAACTGGATGAGCTTTAAGGTTCCTTCCAACCCAAACCATTTTATGATTCTGATCCCAGAGTAGCAGGTCAAACCTCTGCCCTGGTCAGGAAAAACTAAAAGCATGTTTCTGCTACCCAGAGGCCACAAAGCACAGTGCTGCCTGTTGATCCAGGACTATAGCAGTCAGTGTATGGCAGGCAGGGACTGTCCTCTCTGGGGACCTGAGCTTGGTCCCCAAAGCCTCGGCTTCCTTGACACTAGATGGAGCACATGAGCTTTCACTAAGCCAAGTCAAAGGGGGCCCTCCAGATCCAACACTGTCTGGTCAGCTCTGTTCAACTTAAGTTTTGCCTGTACAGCCCTGCCAGGGAGGTACTGGGGCAGAAGAAGGTGGTGGACCCTCATTTTCTGCAGTAGAGCCTTAGGTTCATGCCTTAGGTAGGTGCATCTCCTCACAACACCCATCCCCAGCGAGGGCTCTGAGCTACCAGCTTTGATAAATCTGCAGACTGACCAGTCCTGCCGTGCCTGAAAGCTCTTTGGAGCTCATTCCACCTGCCTCCACACCTTCCCTCCTGACTTTGCACCGCTCAAAGCAAACCTTCCTGATGGCAGATCATCAGGGCTTAAATTCCACCTCCAGCTTTTGGGTGAGCTTTTCATCCACATCATGCCCAAGGCTACAGTCTTCTCCTCCCACCCTGCTCCTGGCCAGCCTCAGAGGCTGCTCCTTGCATGAGACAAGGGCTGCAGTGGGGCAGCTCCAGGGTTAAAGCAACCAGAGCAGGAAGCGAAGGGCCCGCTGGGATTACATATGGAAGGAAACACGCAGCACGTAGCCCCAAGCAAAGAGAGTGCGCAGTTGCACCAGAGACCTTTTGCCAGAGTTGGAATTATGTAGCCTCAGAGAAGGAGGCTCAGAGGCTGCTCCTTGCATGAGACAAGGGCTGCAGTGGGGCAGCTCCAGGGTTAAAGCAACCAGAGCAGGAAGCGAAGGGCCCGCTGGGATTACATATGGAAGGAAACACGCAGCACGTAGCCCCAAGCAAAGAGAGTGCGCAGTTGCACCAGAGACCTTTTGCCAGAGTTGGAATTATGTAGCCTCAGAGAAGGAGGCGATTTATATCCTCCTTTTGGG